TTTAAGAAAACAAGTTTAATTTACGATTCGAAAAGTTAACTTTTTTTTTATTTTTCGCATATATCTGTGAAACCATGCGTTCTATCGACAACAATCAAATTTGCAACAGAAATAGTTATATTAGTTTTTTCGCAATATTCTATAGTTTCCGTGATATCCGTCCTCGTAACTCACTAATTAAAAAAAAAAATGGTTTTGCCTCTTATTTTTATCATTATTCGACTCGCTAACACTTTATTTTTTTCATTTTACGAAAAAGTCATTAAGAAGAAAATTGTTTAATATTAAATTTTCTTTAAGAATATATATTACTTTACTATCTTATCTTCAACTATTCAAAAGCTATATACCTGTGCACAGGCGGGGCTTTCAGGCTAAAGCTTCCCCTCTCCCTCAAAATGGTAAAATGTAACCATGTTTTATGGAAAAAATATATTAAAAAATTATCTCTTAAAGTATTATTGTTCGTGTAATTGCCTTCAATAGGATTCAATAATCACTTTAAAAACACCATTTTAAATAGGTAGTTAGTTCCTTTCATTTTTCTCCAAATAATTATCGTTATATATATGAAAAAAAAGCTTTCGAACTGAAGCCCCTCCCCCAAAATAAAATCCTGTATCCGCTAGTGTACATGTGTATACATTGGCTTATACAATACACACTCACACACACACACACACATATATATAATATATAAGAGCTGTTTAATCATTATGTAATCGTCCTCAAAACAATAATACAATCTCCCATTTATGCATCATAAAGCGGATCTAAGAGTTAATTTCGGGGAAAGAAACTTCAAAGCAACATGGTGTCTTTTCCCGGTAAATATTTAAAGTATCTTATCTGAAACTTACGTTTTTGTACCATTTAAAGCAGTCAACTATTTGGCCAAGTCTATTTACAGAAATGAAAATAGATGAACGTAAAAATAAATATATATACATGTAATATATTTTTTTTTGTTTGGGAGAAGGAGAGGGGTTCCACACGAAAGCCCCCCCCATGGTTTCGCTAATGCATAAGGCTCATATCTGTGGTTTCCATTTACTCCCCTCCCTTTCTGATTCCCATACCGAAGAACCGAAAAAACCTAGATTTAGTCTTGATATTTCTCCTGTTGCATTTCTCCTGAAATCTACCGACTTCTATACTTTCGAATAGAACTGCTTGCAATGGAAAATTTTGTATTGATTGTACCAACTTTTTTTTGGTATTTCTGTCTTATTTTCTCTTTTTGAAATATAAGCAATTCCTTGCCATGTTAATCATATGAACGATATAATTATGATATGGTTGATCTGAAATAAATGAATTATATATTTATTTTTTGTTTCGTGATAAAAAATTATTTTTCATCTTAGTATCGAATCTACAACAGTTCCTTGTAAACGTTGTCAGAAAACTTCGGTTTTGTCATAATACATTTCTTAATCAACCAAACTACCGATTATATACTGGATTTATTATTATATTAAATACTAAATAAATATAATAATATATACTGGATAGGATAAGTCACAAGTGGATCCAGGATTTAATTTTTTTTTTGGGGGGGGCTTCAGCCTGGTAGGTTTTTTTTTCATATATATAACGATTACCTTGGAAAACAGAAATATACGAACTATCTATTTGAAATGGTGTTTAAGTGATACTTGAAGTCCAATTAAATATAATTAAACAAGCAATAATACTTTAAGAGATAATTTTTTAATATTTTTACCATAAAACATGGACATATTTTACCATTTTGGGGGGGCTTCAGCCCGGAAGCTTTTTTTTCATATATATAACGATAACCTTGGAAAAACAGAAATATACTAACTATCTATTTGAAATGGTGTTTAAGTGATACTTGAAGTCCTATTAAATGTAATTAAACGAGCAATAATACTTTAAGGCATAATTTTTTAATATTTTTTACCATAGTCACATTTTACCATTTTGGGGGGGAGGCTTCATCACGACTCCTCCTCCCCCCCAATTCCCCCGTAGATCCGCTGGTGGGATAAGTCCATTTAATACAACAGGACCAAACATCAGTTAATAAGTGTTCTTAACAATTGTCTATCATTATATATTTATAATAAGTACATTTTAAGCGGCTTTAAGAGACATTTTACCAACTATGGGAGACCAAATTATCTAACTTAACTAACAGCGACATTATTCCTAAAATAAACAATTTATTTTATTTCTTTTGATACCGACAGCAGATAGAAAATAACGAAAACAAGAAACAATAATACTAGTGAAATAAACATTTATATATTTGTTTGTCCAATAGTTTGTGAAATTTCTAAACACACCTTAATACTCATAAAACGCAGTGGATCGTAACTGCAAAATTTCCAAGTTTTGAGAAGTGCTTGCGTAAGTGATAATAAAGTCTAACTGTATACTTATCATGAACTTACACAACCGCTTACCCAATGATGCTAAAATCACTATTTAAAGTTTATGAGCATTCGTTAATGAACGAGCGAAATCAAAACAACAATTGGACAGAGTTCCTTGATCTCGATTACGGGCCAAGGTTGTGATTGATGCAAAGTTCCCCCGATTGCACGCGCGGTGGGTCCCCGGTAATTAGAGAACGGTGTGGCCCGTGCTAAAGGTCAACTCGCTCATTCTAATGAGTAAATCCGATTCAGCGACCCGCTACTCCGGGCTGGTTTCTTTTTATTTACCCGTTCTCCAAACAGGTTTTCGGTTTGACTGGTTATTAAGGTACATTCTTCTCTGGAGCGCTCTCGCGAGCTTCCAGTCACTCCATCAGCCCATCCTCATCTCGTACATTTCACATTAATCGAGAAAATTATAAAAGCATAATAGAATAAATCAATGATAAAAAAAAAATAAACAAAGTTGAATTGTATGCTATAAGTAAAAATTAAAAAACCTACAGTTAACAATCAAGAAAACTAAAAATGAAATGAAATGAAAAAATATTTTATTATTCTGGGACTGTTGTCCCTTTAGAACAAATTATAAATACAGATTGTATGTCTGTGTGGTTACAATTAGATTATATATTTACAATAAGAGTTGACTAAAACTAATAATACTGAAGAAGAGAAAGAAAAGAACAATAAAATTGAACATATATATGAGAAACTAAAATAACCTAAATAAATTGAGGTAGTCTCTGGGGGTGCTTAGATATTTCTCTTAAGTATATTTCGCAATCAGTCGGATTGAGAAAGGAGTAGGTTTTTAAAGAGGAGAGGTTTCAAAGAGGAAACTGATTTAGCGTGTCGATGGAATTCCAGAGGGAGGTGGCTTGCATTGCAAATGATTTGTCAAACGCAGCAGTTCGGTGAGGAGGAGAATAGAGGTCGGAAGTACGAGATCTAGTGGGACGAGATTGGATGGAGTATTTGAATTGTAAGCTGTGAAAAATATAGGAGGGTCGATGGGTTCTAATAGTTTGGTACAGAAAGGTGGCTAGGAAGTACTGATGGCGATAGGATGGGTAGAGCCACCTCAACTCAGTGTAATACTGGGTAATATGCGTTTCCCTTGAGATTCCGAAGACAAATTGTAGTGCACAATTCATTAGGCGTTTAAGTTTGGCCTCGGAATCTCCCGAAAGTACACCGTACAGCCATAGTCAAAGTGGAGGAAAACAAGGGAGGAAACTAGGAATTAACGGGACTTATATGGAAGGAGGTATCGTAGACGTTTGAACTGTTTTAGGATAGAGATAGTGCGACGAGAAATTTGGGAGATGTGTGGTTTCCAGGATAGGGTTTGGTCCTGTAGTAAAATGCTATATTTTACTTCTTAATAGATTTTGTATTGGGGAGGAGGAGAGAGAGAACGGGGTGGTTTAAAAGTTATCTAAAAGTGCGTTTAAACTTTCACAAAATATGACACAATCAAACATACAAGACTGTTTCACTGTGCTTGTATTTTTGCTTCTTGTGTTTTTATATTTTCCATTAAGAGAAATAAAATAAATAGTTTGGTTTAGCAAGAATTTCGCTGTTAAGTTAGATAATTTTGTTTCCAATAGTTTATGAAATGTCAAATTACAGCTTTATAATTATAAAAAAACAACTGAAATATACCACAAAGATATTTCTGGAGGGTTATTTTTGTTTTTTGAAGTGAAAAAACATTAACTTATTTCTTTGCTTTTTGCTGATACTTAGGGTAAATAAGTCTATCCTTGAATTAATTATTGTAGTACTTTTATTAGTTAAATAAAAATATATACTAAAATTATAAAGGCGCATTTAGGCATTACACAAACTATGGAACAAACAAAAATTTAAATGGTTATTTCACGATTATTATTATTGTTTCTCGTTTTTGGAAGTTTTCGTCTGTTGTCGGTATCACGAGAAATAAAATGAATAGTTTGGTTTAGCAATAATGTCACTATTAGTTAAGTTAGATAATTGTGTTTCCTATAGTTCTTGAAATGTACTAATTATGAATATAAAATGGTAGAAAATGATTAAGAATACTTATTTACTGATGTTTGGTCCTGTTATATTAAACGGACTCAAGTCATTATTTTTCCAGAAAGAAGTTTTTTACGTCTTCTTGACTAAAGCAATCTGCTTTTTTTACTGATCTCAGATATGTTTATATTTAATATAGATTAGCATAACAAAATGTTGTAACGAAAAAAAATATATTATGATAAATACTTAGTTTTTTTGACAAAACACCAATGTATAGATTAAAAAAAATATTTTTTCTGAGAGTCCATTTTTTACAATTATGAAAAATAATTAGTATTTTTGATTTGTAGAAGTTTTTTCATCTGGCTACCTAGCCGATTTAATTTGTATCTTATAAATATAGCAACGCTTACATTTAATTGAGCTTTATGTCATTTTTTTAAACAATCTGGACTTAGTAATTATCTCTTCACACGCTATTCAACATACTATAGAAGAAGTGTACTTTCCTTTTCAGCCTATCGAGTGAAGAGTATCGATAACAAGAATCGAGTCTGGAGCTTGGAATTCAGTGATGGCGGCGGCCGCTAGCCTGCTTGTTTACTGTTCCTGATAATTTGTAAATATACAATGACAGCGAGTGTTATCAATCCTAAAACTGTCATCATAGTCAATTATATGTGCCGTTTTAACAAACCGAATTACAATTGTGCGGAAAACAAGTGTATCAAATCCCTTTAATTCTTACTTTATTGAATGTTTTCCGAAATCAATATTTTAAGATGTCTATATTGAAATTTGGTGAGGGGTAATTTTAGCAAAAATGAGACTTTGTGTTTTTTTAGTTTTGTTTAAAGTGTTTTTTTGTTCTGGATATTTAATTTTACTCTCCGAAGAAGAAGAACCTGGAACCCTCATATTTGATGCTGGCCTTAAAACGAATGAACACCACAAAAGACATTACACTATCAATGTTGATAAAAGTGCTTATTTTGTAAGAAGACTGTTGCGTGTTGACCATTCTTTTGGTGAAGTGTATCTTAGGCAGAAACTCCAATGTGATGGTGTTTTTTACCCGAACCTTTTTACATTGTATATAGATTCAACATCGAATGGTACCTTAGATTATGTTTCTATTCCTTTAAGAGTGTTAATTCGTGGGTGTGCTGATTTAATTAGTTTCGAAGGTAGTTATTAATTTTGTTTTGATTCTATATTCAATTTCAAAGTTGACAATTTAGTAATTATCACCTTTTGTAGATGGAGTTTTTGAAAACAAAATTCAAACTAAAATATCGGAGGCGAAAAAATGGCCCAGTGAAACAATCGCTTCATTCTCGTTTCCTGCTTTTAAGTAAGGCACTAACTATTATTTTTATTAAATTCATTAAAGAGGTATTGTATCTTAAATGAGTACCAAGATTTAGCATTTTTAATTATTATTGATTCCTATTTCTAAAATAATTAGTGTAAAAACTAATGTTATGTTATATCTTGGTTCCTGAACTGTACTAAATACCTGATTTGATTGCAAAACATCATTAAAAATAAAAAGAACTGTTGACTGTCATAAATTTTTGGTGATAAAAAATGAAATGATAATTTAATAATTAAATCTTTTATTGTGTAGTTTTTTATTTCTTATTATCAGAACTTTTTTAAGGCTTTGTATTCCTGAATTTTTATTTATGATTAAGAAGTGGCCACTTTTTAAATTAGAAATTAAATTCATAATTGATGGGGTGTCAGTGGCTTTGTGGTATAAGTTTTTTTTTTTAAATTAGGTTAAATGTAACAATCATTTAATGAATATATAAATGTACTTAATGGCAAAGAGATCGAAGGATAAAATAAGTTTTAATACTGAAAAAGTAATTATATAGTATTTTCAAAATGATTATAAATACCCAATAAATATTAATTATTCTAAAAAAAATTTAAATTTAATATTAAAGTTTAGCCATACTCAGATAAAAAATAAATATTAATTTAAAATAATATATTTTTTATGAATAAAAATGCTTTAAATAAAAATAACTCAATTTTGATAAATTTATAATTTATTACTTAATACACTTCAATTTTTACTGTTATTATTCCACCCATTATTAATTTAATATTTATTTCTATACTTAAAGAATTAAGCTATGATCAATTTAAATTTTATTCTATATACAATCTAGACAGTTGAGCTTGTTTAGAATTTTTTCTTTAATTTATTAATCAATGAATTAAATTACATTTTCTTCCTTTGTTTAATTTTTATTTAATAATAATTGATTCTGCTCTTTATTTTTAACTTTAGCTGATTTTATATATCTATGTATTTTAAATAAAAACTCTAGTTTTTATTCATATAATTATTATGATATATTCCTCATTTAATATAAATTTTCCTTTGATTCCACATGTAATTTAAAAAAGGCAATATTTTTCGCTTGACCACGATTATTTTTCATAATGACTATCTTTACTCTAAATGTTTTGTTTGAATGTGGAAGTATATTTTGAAAAAGTTTATTGAAATTATGAGGTGTATTATTTATTATTTGTATTATCCTTTTTTTTTTATAATTTAATACATGGATTTTTAAAAAATAAAATTGATTATACTATATTTTGGTTTCTGTTTAATAGCAAAAATGAAGCAATGTCCCAAGTATGCTTGCGCAGTTCACAAGTGGTCGCAACCCTTAGATCTCTTGTCCCTAAGGGGCTGGGATCATGTAACATTGTGCTGACTGGAGTGGCCGAACCCCGATTTGGGGTCGAGCCACGTGGAGGACATTTAGTGGCCAAAGAGGATTTATGTCTGTCTACAGCAGGTCTTTTGGAATTGCCTGTAGCACTGGAATATACTTGTTCATCCAATTCTGGTCTACTGTTGCATCCATCTCAGCACACCATAAGGGTACTACCTTGTAGAATATCATTCTTTTATTAATTGCAAAGTAATAGTATGTTATTTCACTGTTCCTTTGTTTTAGGTGTATGTTTCTTTCCGAAGGAGTACTTACGAAGAATCTGGAAGGGTTAGAAGAACTGCCTCACGCCCAGGGGACTTAGCTTTTGAGAAGCCTCTTTATATTGCTTCTGTGCTTGAAGAACAACCTCCTGGAACCGAAGTACTTAACCTATGATAATCATTAGTTTAATCATCTGAATGTGTTAAAATTCTATTTCTTGTTTAGAATTCTCCTCAACCCATAGTTATATGATAAATTAGTTGAATTTTGTAATTACAACTTTTCAAGTTATTATTTATTTTTTATTTAGGTTTGCTCAGTAGCTGTTAAAGAAGGAGGATTGTATTCCATGGTTAGTGTTCTGGATTCAAGAAGTCAAGGAATGTTTAGTATTGGTGCGAGCACTGGGGTAGTCACAGCTACAGCTCGACTTGATAGGTTTGTTGTTATACCTTATTGCTGTTTTAACTAAAATTGACTTTTTTAAAACTTATTTATAGGCTTCATTTTTTATGTCAAAACTATTATAATGAATAGTTGGTTTTGTTACTATATCAGTATTCATCTTATTCTACTAAATTTGAAAATGACCAACTATCTTGATTTCTTTGTTCCAAATTTATAATGAAATGATTATTTATTTATTTATCTTATTAACAGAGAGACGATGGATGTTCATTATTTTCGAGTAACAGTAACATCAGATTCTGGTAATTCTCATCAGTCAGCTACAACTACTTTGCAAATTAATGTCGGGGATATCAACGACCATGCGCCTGTATTTGAACAAGGTGTTGCCACAGAAACTACTATAAGCGAAAGTTCACCTGTTGGAACTGCAGTTGCTCAGTTAAGGGCTACTGATTTGGATATCGGCCTTAATGCTCAGGTACTTGTCTTTCATTAATTAATATTTTTTTAAAAAAAATTTAGATTTAAATTATTAATTAATATTTATAGTTTTATAAGCTACTTACTAATGCTAAAACATACTAAGTTTAAAAATAAAAGTAATTCTGAATACACAGTTGGAATTCCTTATAAAGGGGGAGGGACAAGATCCACTTAAATTTAAAATACTTTATCAGTTTTTAATAATGATTTTAGATCGAGTACAAAATATCAGGTGTAGAATCAGGTGGTTTAGACAAGGGAGACGGAATCTTTAATATTGATCCTCAAAGTGGACTATTAACAACCAGGCAGCCTTTGGACAGAGAAACCGCTGAGGTATTCATTTCAAGTTCATGTTTATTTTATGTCTATGAGAATGTGAAGCTATAATGTTAAATTTTTTAATGATTTCTTTTGTTATTTCTTTGCTATAAGGTGTATACGGTTCTGGTAGAAGCATCAGACAAATCGCAACCAGCGTCATCTCGCCTAAGTTCCACAGTATCTCTTGTCGTAAGAATCGGTGATGAGAATGACAACTATCCTCAGTTTTCCGAACGAGCTACAACCGTATCTCTGCCTGAAGATACTCCTGCTGGTGCAAGCCCTGTAATCGCCACTGTCAGGTGATATATTTTAAAATTTCTTTCATAGAATTTATATTTTTTTATCTTTTCTAGCTATCACTTAAATAATATTCCAAACATTTTTAAAAGTAATTAATAAGTAATATTATTTAATATGTTTTAGAGCTACTGATGCTGATACTGGACAAAATGCAGCCCTTCGATATGCTATTATTGGTGGTAATACCCAGGGTCAGTTTTCCATCGACTCTCAAAATGGTGAAATAACATTGGTGAAACCTCTTGATTATGAATCAATACGAAGCTATCGTCTTGTGATTCGAGCTCAGGGTAAATTTATACACGTACTTTTGCTGTAACTATTATAATCTTATTAGAACACCAAAGTTCAATAGCCTTAGAGTAACATGGAAGATTTGCTACGGATCTGTGAGATAGACTTCACTAATTCAATTTATTGATCAAGAATAGCAACAAATTTCTCATTGTACTAAAAGAAAAAGATATAAGATGAGTATTGAAATATATTTATTGAGTAAAAAATACAGTTACATAATTTATAGAAATTATTAAAAATCAAAAAGAAAAATATGTTGTCAAAATTAGGAACTTGAACATTGAATTCTGTATACCATTAAATATGAACAATAATCTATATCGAAAAAAAATCTATCACGAGTACTAGGAACAATTATATTGGATTTAAATTGGATACAAAAATAATTAATACAAACACCATCACAAACTGAACATCAGCCTCTAAAGGCCTCCAATTTCTCATCGATCGTCACGTCTGCTCCAACTGAATAAGATTGTCAGTTTCTGACAAACTTCAAATATGTCCCGAACAGGTGCAAATCAGTCTATTTCTTTACGTTGTTGACGTGTTTCTCGGTTGTCAAATCTTAGGAATCAAAGTTAAAATCGACACCTTCGTACACTCATAGTTGGACAAAATATTTTGGTTCCAAACTTGGAATCAATTGTGCCACTTGAGTGCCACAAACTATCCAGATATTTTTCCCGTCTTAATGCATTCCGGCAATATTTAACAGCCCAACAAAGGCTTTGATTTCAATTATGTTAGTTGCCATTGCCTCCCTTTCCTGTGAAAAATGTCCACATAAGCCGTCAAATCTCAAGTTTTGGCACAAAAATTGGATACTGCACAGGTTACTCTACTACTGGATTGTAACACTCCAAGAACCAGAAGAATGCATCCTATCCCAAGCTGTGTAAAAATTTATCAAAGAGACCACTTGACGGATCTCTCAGATCCGGTGCGATCTTTGTAGTGTTAATATTGTTTTTTAATGTTATTTACATATATTTCTTATAATATTTTAGACGGTGGCAGTCCTGGAAAATCTAACACATCACAAGTCTTGGTGAATGTTAAAGATGTAAATGACAATTCTCCTCGTTTCTACACATCTCTTTTTCAAGAATCAGTTTCAGAGGGTGTTCCAGTTGGTTTTTCAATAGTTCGGGTTAGTGAAAATTGTATTATTATCTTATTACAATATTTTATATTTAAATCACATATTAGTCATCAATATTTGTTTTTCCTTTACATAACGAACTGTTAATGCTTAGGTGCAAGCGTATGATGGGGACGAAGGAGAAAACTCTGAAATAGAATATCGAATATCACCGCATTTCTCACCAGATGAATTACCTGTTACTGTAGATCCAAATACCGGTTGGCTGTCAACAAGGCGACAACTTGATAGGGAAGCTACATCTCGTTTAAGTTTTGAGGTCAGTTTTTGTATATCATTAACAATTATTCTGCATGATGATAAATTATCTATCTGTAAAATTTTTCTTATTTTTTTGGTGGTTGCCATTTGGTGGTTTTTATTACTAATTTTAAAGATTTATTTAAATAGGTTTTAGCTGTTGACAAAGGCGATCCTCCTAGATCTGGAACAGCCACTGTGTCCATTGTCATTCAAGATACTAATGACAATGACCCTCAGTTTTCTCCAAAGGAATATTCAGCCAACCTTCCAGAAGATGTTGGAGCTGGGGCTTCAGTAGTTGTAGTTCATGCCACCGATCCAGATGAGAATCCAAGGTACTAATAAAATACTGTATAAAAAGATTATTGAACTGATTTAAAATTTATTTTTAGTAAAATTCATTTTTAATATAATGTTTAATGCTAAGGTTGAATTATGAAATCATGAGTGGAAATACTAGAGGCAGATTTGCTATAACTACTCAGAATGGTCGGGGACTCATCACTGTCGCTCAACCATTAGATTACAAACAAGAGAGAAGATTCATATTATCGGTTAGTTGATTATTAATAATGCTTTTTTGTTTTTGTTTGCATTTATTTTAGACGAGTTTTGCAGAATTATAAAATTTTGTGCTGTTCTGATTGATATTTTATTCTTATCAAATATTATTTTCATTCATAAGCTCCTCGTGTTTGTTGCTTAGGTTCGTGCAATAGATTCTGGTGGGCGCTATGATACCGCTAATGTCTACATTAATATTACTGATGCTAATACTTTCTCACCAATATTTGATAATGCGCCATATTCAGCATCAGTTCCAGAAGATGCTAAGATTGGAACAACAGTTTTGGTTGTTTCTGCTTCTGATGGAGATTCTGGTGTTAATGCTGAGGTAAGATCAAACATTATTCATTGTACCTCAATAATATGATCTGATAATTATCAAACAATTAACTTCTCGATTAAGAATTACTTGTTTTATTGTAAAATATTTTTATTGCTGTTTTAATATTTGAAGTTTCATAATATATACATTTTATTGTTTATTTAATAGGTGACCCTTGCATTATTAAGGAAGGAGATGGTCCGGGGCTTTTAATAAAATAGTTTTGCCACTATTAAGTCTATTTATGACTGCCACCCTAGACCATCTCCTTCCTTATATACCTTTTATTTTTCATTTCATTGGTTTAATGTTATTTATTTGTGAATGTCAGTAAACACATTCTTAATGAGTTTTTTTTTCTATGAACGCGGAGTTGATTGTGCATGTCCTCTACTGTGATGAAATATCATTAATATGAATATTGACAAATTTTAATGTTAAATAGCAACATTTGATGTTTGAATATTGCATTATTAATGTTATTGTACTTCATTTTTTAGATTAGCTACAGCTTGAGCTCAGACACTACTGAGTTTACCATTAACCCTGACACCGGTGCTATAATTACTACAGCAGTCTTGGATAGAGAGATTACATCAGGATATTTACTTAGTGTTACAGCCAAAGACAATGGTAAACTTTTTTTGTAATTCGAGCTTCTCTTGATACAACACAATAATCTAATATACCACATAAATAGATGGAAATGAAATCTTCTAAAACCAAAAATGTTTTAGTTAATTATTTATTTGGATCTTATAAAAGTATCAACATAGCATTAGCCTACTAAGCAGATTTAGAATATGTTTTTTTTTTGTTTATATAAATTCATTTGTACCCTGTTGTATATTGGATTCAGTATAATCCAAATATACAATTTCATGAAAAATCTTGTTGATTTGTATTTAGTTTGGTAACGTTTCATTATAGATTTATCATATCTACTTTCAGTAAATAAATCAATCTTTAATTCTAAACATTTTGAAATTTTAGAGGATAAATTTTTTTTTTCTTCTTTTTTCTCCTTCGTGGTTATTTCTGGCATTCATGAGGTTATGCTACAGGTTACCAACCTATCCTAATTAGAGTGGGATAACAGTTAACTCCATTACATGGTCGATGTGAGTTAGTCTAGCTTATATTCAGATCATATAATATGTCTCTGTAATTATCAACTATCAATTGTTATACCGACGGATCCTTAATGGAGCAGGGATTATGGGCTGGTATCTGAAGAAAGGATAAGCCAAACGAGAGAATATTCAGGAACTGAGTCCAAGTACTGCGAACTGATTGATCCCGTCAGGATCAATAGGTATGCGAAGGCATCTGGGAAAAATTCCTTCAATGGATCCATCAAAAAATAAATTTTAACTGAATTTGAACCACTTGTCTCAAGGCTGCTAAGGCGATGCCTTAACACTCTTGACCACTGTATTCTACTAAAGTGTGCTGCCCGGATTCAGAGACAGTGGCAGTTTAAATCCAACCTGTAGGTTCAATTTTATTCAAAACCTTGGAATCAATACTTGTTTTCCTTCCGTTTTTTAAATCACCAGTTTTGGAATAACAAGTGGAGTTCATTTCATTTAGAATAACATACAATTTCTTTATTTTAATTCAAACCTTCTCTTGATATGAGTACAATTTGTATGCCCTGGTTTTGTGTCATGTTAAAAAATGAAATGCTTATAATGAAAACAAAGCATAACTATTTGAATCTTCCAATATTAATTATTATTTTTTTAGGAACTCCTCAACTTTCTGATAGTACAGATGTGGAAATCACTGTCACTGATGTTAATGATAATCCTCCGAGGTTTTCTCAGGAATCATATCTTGTATCTGTTTCTGAAGATGTACCTATTGGCACCAGTATTTTACAAGTCAGTATTGTATATATTTAACAGTTTTAAAGATTAAAGTAAGTTAAGATCCATACCAGACTGAAACGACAAGAAACTGCTCGACGATTCCGATTACTTCAGCACTTACTAGACAAACGCTCTAAACTTCCAATTGATTACAAAAGACTCATATACTTGACTATAATAAGGGCTATTTGGACTTACGGAGTTGAGCTATGGGGATCCACTAAACCATCGAATTCCTCTCGTATCCAATCCTTACAATCCAAAATCCTTCGTAAAATACTCAATGCTCCCTACTTTGTTACAAATAAAACCATCCATAATGACCTTAATGTTTATTTTGTTTCAGATCTGGCCCAATCCAGATACCTATCCTTCCATAATAAACTTCAGAATCATCCCAACCCTCTCGTTTCTAACCTTGCTTCATCTTCAATTCCTGATAACCCTCCAAGGTGTCTGAAAAGAATATGGCCCTATGATCTCCTAATGTAGACATATCATTAGAGTGCTACCATTGGGTACTTACTCAGCAAGTGTTTTCATGTCATTATATCCATATGTTCAAATTTACTAGATGTATTTATATAATACAGTTGTAAATATCATTAAGAAAAAAAAAAAAAAAGTTAAGATCGTTGAACAAACACTAATGGCTATCCATAGTAATTTATTTTGTTTCCAAACATTCTTTTGTATATGGTGTGATAATTTTATCCTCGGACGTTTTATTATTCTTAATTATAATTGTATTTTTTTCAAGGTTTCTGCTACCGACCCAGATCTCAGCCTTAATGGGAGGGTAAGATATTCTTTAGAAGACACCGATACTTTCATAATGGAACCCATAACTGGTGTGGTCAGAGTTAACAGAGGCCTAGATAGGGAATCAACTGCCCAGTATACTCTAATTGCTATTGCATCGGATAGAGCTTCACCTCCGCTTTCATCTTCTGTAACCTATCTTTTTTTTTTTTTTTAATTATTGAGGCTAGTTTGCTGCCTATCTTTATTCATTTTACTCCTTTTCAGGTTGAAATATTAGTCAAAATTGAAGACGTCAATGATTCTCCTCCTACTTTTGAATCTGATAAACTAAAACTGTATATTCCTGAGAACTCACCTATTGGCTCTACAGTTGGTGAAATTTATGCTTCCGATCCTGATGTAGGAGCAAATGCTTACGTGACTTACTCAATCATAGGTGAATAATTGATGTTTATAGTATTTAAGAGAATTTAAAAGTAATATGTAAAGATGCGAGAGTACCGTAACAATAATGTTTATCAGGTGGTGAAGATTCTTCACTTTTCTCACTGCAGAGAAGAGCAGGAAACGACAAAGCTGAATTGACTACCTTGACCGAACTTGATTATGAAAGTTCGAAGAAAACATATTCTGTTGTGATTAGAGCGAGTTCTGCGCCTCTCAGGTCTGATGCGACTGTCACCATTATTGTAACTGATGTGAATGATAATGCACCAAAGCTCTCTGATTTTCAAGTAATTGATGCTCTTTTTACATTATGTTTGAGAATATATCTTGATAGATATGATTATGATCTGGCCATAAATGACTTAATATAAACATACATTTTTCAAAAATATTTAATCTTTAAATACTGCAAACTTGTAATATCTTGATAATAACATGATTTTGAAACAAACGTTTTAGAAAATCATGAATACATAAAAATAAAATTTCTTATTTACAATAAGAAAGAATAAAATTTTTTGTTTTTATATTTTGCCGTAGCAGCCTTTACATGTGATACTATACTGTATTAAATCAAATATTTTAGTTATCAAACCCATTTGATTTTTTTTAACAATGTTCAATTTTTCAACCTTTTTTTATATTAAACTTCAATGCACTTTAAATAATTTTAGCTTATAATATATCTTTCTTTTAATTATGTTTTAGGTAATCTTCAATAATTTTCGAGAATGTTTTCCATCTGGTCCAATTGGAAAAATCCCTGCTTTTGATGCTGATGTTTCAGATAAGGTAGGATTCAATTTTATTTTATTTTTGCAAATTATTATTATGATTCTAAAATTTAAAACTTTTATCTGATTTTTTTTTTTAGTTGAGATATCGATTGTTATCTGGGAATAATGCAGCTTTAGTTACTCTTAATGAAACATCTGGTGAGCTGTCGCTCTCTCCTCAACTGAACACTAATGTACCTAAGTTAGCTACTATGGAAGTTTCTGTGTCAGGTATATTTTCTTTATAATTATATCTTGTTAAAGTATTTATAATAATAGCTCTAATTTAACATAAGATGATATATTCATATTAAATTGTATATATAAAATTATACATGACAATTAACAGAAGATATTTAATGTTTTACAGACGGTATGAACGAAGTCAAAGCTTGGATGGAGTTGACTGTGCGCCTGATTACCGATGAAATGCTTATGAATTCAGTTACCGTGAGGCTGGGTGATATGACTGAGCAAGCGTTTTTGTCACCCTTGTATACTTATTTTGTTGAAGCAATTGCTGCTATCGTACCTTGTCCCAAGCATAATGTTTATATTTTTAGTATTCAAGTAAGTAAAGTTTTAATTATCATTTTACATTTAACTCGATTGATGATCAAATAAATATTTACAGATTTATTTGTAGCATTAATTTCACTTACTATTGTGGTAAAGTAATTAACATTTGTTTAATGAGGAAATGCTGCTGATAGCTGAGATTAGGCTTGCAGTATTAAACTCTTAGGTCTGTAGACTTCTTAATGTTCTTTAGAAATTATTCAAAGAAACTAGCTTTCAACTCAGGCTCAAACAATCTGTAAATATCACATTAAGATTCTTTGTCAAGCTGTTTCCATAGTCATGTCCTGTCTCGCCTTTCTCAGTTTTCCATGCTTTCTTAAACTTTCCTCATATTCATATTATCTTCATTTGATAAGTGCCTGAAGTATCAATAATGCTTGGCCACAGAATCTGAAGTTTGTTGCTTCAGAGTTATTTGTATATGTAAAGTTTTATATCTAAAAGGCTTTATTTCTACCAAATTTGATTATTCTGTACTAATTGGTATTTTATTTTCAATCACTGTTTTATAGCTTATCTTTACGATTATTTTTTTAAAATTACACTGGGAGGAAGAATTGTTTTCTCATTTTTGAAGTGGAAACTTTTGTAAGCATGTTTTTCATTTTTTTTGTGGAGAGTGAATTAGTTTGAACTGTCAGATTCCGATGTGTAACACTTGGGTAAAGTCGGCTGAAGTCGATTAATTGAAGTGTTTTTTCATATGGATTAATATATCTCAAAAACTAAAAAATGGACCTGCATATTATATTCATCATCTCCTTGTTTTTGTAATGAGCTGTTATTCAAAATTGTATCTTAATGTGATGCCATGTTAGAGAGAAAAAAAGGAAAAATAGTGTTGAAACAAATAATGGCAAATTTTATTGATGATATGGGTTAAAATATCTCAGATACTAAAAATCGGACTTGCATAATGAAAGCGAGGGAAATGTTCAGAATTTCATCCCTTTATCATAATGAGCTATTATTTAAAAATTATATTTCATATTATTAATCTCGCCTTGTTGATGTTTCCATTTCTATCATGTGGCCTAAAGCAGAAAACTCAGTTTTTTTTTATTTTCTAGGAGGATCCTGACGCTGATGCTAGAATTTTAAATGTAAGCTTCTCAGTTCGTAAACCAGATGGAGAAATGTACCCTGCTCAGCTGCTTCAAGAAAGAGTTCACCTCAATAGAGAACTTCTGAATAAATTGTCAACGTTACAGGTGATTATATCTTCAATGTACCATAATCTCATGTATCTCACCTTAGCATTTAATTATAACTTATTTATTAAATCAGAACCTTATTTCATGTCTCCCATAAAATTAATTTTTTTAATTCATGTTTTGCCAGATTAAGGTATTTTTGGGAAGTTACTTTAATTTTGAAACATTTTAATACTATTAAATTATACTGACAAGTAAATATAGCATTACAGATCTTTTAGGAATAACATGTTTAACATATTTTCAATTTTATGTTTGTAGTGTATTAAAACTGTAAACAGAGGATTATTGTTATGTTTTAGGTTCTAGAATTTGATGACAACTTATGTGTGAGAGAACCTTGTATCAATTTTGAAGAATGTCTCACAGTCTTGAAGTTTGGAAATGCCTCAGGCTTTTTGACCTCCTCCTCGATGTTATTCAGACCAATTTATCCAGTCACTACATTTGCTTGCCGTTGCCCTGCTGGTTTCATTGGTAAAAAAAATTTAAAAAATATTATTTGAAAATATAATGTATTAAAAGTTGAAGAAGAGAAATTTTAGAAAAAGTAATCAAGTTAGTCTATTGTTAATCACTGTTTATTTTTAAACACATTGAGATCGGTTATATAATCGGTTAAAAAAAAATATTGATTTTTGAATATAAACGAGTTAAAATTTATTGATCATGAAGCATATGCTATTATTATAATTATTTAGATTAAAAATGTATTGTAAAAATCCATCTTATTTTAGGTCGGAAAGAACATTACCTATGTGATACCGAGGTAAATCTGTGTTATTCAAGTCCCTGTAAGAATGGCGGTGAGTGTGTTCAAGCTGAGGGAGGTTATACCTGCATCTGTAGTGCTGGTTTTACAGGTATCAATTTTAATTTCATATATTTTTTAAAATCTTTAATTTACCATCGCTTATAATATATTAAACAAGGTTGTATCTATAAATTTAGCCTATATATTTTATTCTATTCTATTGGCCAGGTTAATAGCTATTGTTTTTTATGTGATTAAGGCGAAGCCACTAGGAGGGTAATGTATTTAACTTGAACATTTGAAGGTATGATTTTTTTGAGCTCAACTATTTTTTTAAGTTTGATGGTTCAAATTGTTCGGTGGAATTCTATGAGTGTTTTGAAACAATTTGAGATTAAAGTATTGATAAATTATTGTATTTAATGTCTTTTGTCCACCCGTTTGAAAGTTTGTAACAATTTTTTGAGTGAATGATTTATGAGATATGGTTTGGTAACTCGAATCATTCAGTGAAATCATGGTTGTTTTGAAACAATCTGAGCTAGTGAAATTCTGAAAAAATATTTTCATATCATACATATCATGTGTAAGTTCGTCATGTTATGTAGAGAATATAAATTGACAATACTTGTAAATTTAAAAACTTGACTACAGAAATATCTTTAAACATCATTTCTGAGAATGTTTCTAGATAAGAAAATTGTAGATTATGACAGAATGAAGCCATTCAAGAAGTTTTGCACAGTTCTTAATAATTTGATAAAAAGAATCCTGTACTGCGCCCTCATACTTAGATATATCTATTTAAACATATAGTTGGTGGGTTGTTAGTGTTGTTGACGTTAATAAACATTGAAACTTGGTATAGTAGTTGGATGCCTTCTATTACATCTTAAGGCACCTTGAAAGTTTAGTCTTGTGCATCTGTAAATGTCAACATACAAAAGATCCTTGTATCTTTGTGTATGAACAAACATACAGAAAAGTATATCGCTACTGTTAGTGCAAAAGATTGTATATGAAAATTGAGTTTTTATTACAAAAGAACTTAAAAATTATTATTTATTAGTATAATTTTATATTTTATTTACCTCTGCTATTTTCCATAGTTGCAGACCACTTATAGCAGCTCCAGACTACAAAATGTCACCTTTAGCACAAATAGAATAAGAATAAAAAATTGTTACATACAAGCTTTTTCACTGACAGTAGCGATATTGCATTTAAATTAATGTACAGATTCTTGATTTGGGGGTGGAAAACTTTCAACTACTAAACCAATGTCAATGTAGATAAATCTCAAATTCACTAACAACTCACCATTGTATCCAAGTAGACATGCTAATTTTTCTGTCTCTTGGGATCGACATGGTTATTTTTATAGTTGTTTTATTTTGGTTTAAGTTAAATATTTTTTAAATACTATTATTGTTTATGTTAAATTAAATTAAATTTTGGAATAGAATTTTATAGTGCTATTATGTTTTGCATAGGTCAAATAATCTCATTTTATTGATTGTTTATTAATTTATTAATTTTTTCATATTGACATTGAAACAAAGCTTTCCGAAGTTCATGTTTTTTTCTCGACTGTTTTTAAGGTGAGACATGCGAGACTGATGTATCAGCTTCTTGTGGTGAAGCTTGCCCAGAAGGATCTACTTGTACGCCCTTAGAGTCCGGAGGTTATACCTGTGAGTCCTGCCAGGTCTCTGGGGCGTCCTTCCAGCACTACGACAGGTTCTGCCAGCTGAGAGCGAGATCTTTCTCATCAACATCGTACCTAACCTTCACACCACTGAGGCAGAGATACAGAATGCATATCAAGCTCAAGTTAGTTATAACCATTCTTATTTAAACACTTGATCGTTATGTATTGAAACATTTCATTACATGATTTTATATTTAATTTCAGATTTAGTACAGTTGAAAGTGGTGGTTTGCTTATGTATAATGGGCGCTACAATATGCGCCATGACTTCATCGCTCTCGAGTTGATTGATGGGAATATTATTCAATTTTCATTTTCTCTTGGATCAAAGGTTACCAGAGTGTCTGCTGTGGCTGCTGAGCCTCTTAATGATGGTTCGTGGCACACAGTTACCATCATATATTATAACAAGGTAAGATTATATTTGTTATTTTTTTTTTTTATTATATAATCAAACATAGTCATAGTCAATAAGCATAGTATATTTTCTTCTTACTTCAATTAGTAAGGAAGTTCAACTTGTGTATTATAAAGATTTTTAATAAAAATAAAAATGCCTATTCTAGACTGCTACTGTGAGCTTGGACGATTGCGATACTGCTGTGGCAGTGAAATTTGGTGATAGAATCAACATGACTTGTGCTGGAGAAGTTACAGAAGAATTAGAGAGCAGGTTATTTTCTCTTAATAATTCAAATATGCTTGCAAAAAGGATGATAATTAATTTATTTTAAAGTAATTTAGCTATGTACCACATTCATGAGCACAGTCAATTGAAGGATAAGTCCTGTTACAAGAATATTTATAGTCAAACAGAACCAATCTTTTTTTTCTCTTTTTTATTACATTTAGCTATCAAAAATATTTGGAGTTTACGTTTGAAATTATCATTATATTCATAGAAAAAATAAAATTTCACTTTTTAATTTGAAAAAATTTTATATTATTTATCAGTAATGAGTTTTTTCTCTAATCCTGAAACTTTCTTGGAATTTCTATTACATTTTTTGTACTTCTGTACTCTAAAGTCATATTCTGATTTTCATCTTATTGCTTCACGTAAATAATGCAATTTATGGTTATCATATTAATATGACTTGTTTTTAATTCTCTCGTTATTATATTAGTATTTTCTTCTGCTCTAGATGCGCACTAGTGACTGAGAGCTGTCATCGATTTGTAGACCTCACTGGTCCATTGCAGCTTGGTGGTCTCCCGCCCGGGATGTCTCCTCCTCACCTTAGTTATACATCATTCGTTGGATGCCTTGCGGATATTTACATTGATCATAAACTGTTAGATCTGAACAAGTAAGCAAGGATCTAAAATTAAATGCTTGAGTATGCTCAATCCAATTTTACTGTTTCTTAATTATTTTTCTCTTGTTGATTTTTCAGGTTTGTCGGAAATAATGGTACAAAAGTCGGTTGTCTCGAACGTGAAAGTTATTGCTCCTCGTCTCCTTGCCAAAATGGTGGAACTTGTAGAGAGTCTTGGGGTGGTTTCTTATGTGATTGTCAAGATGGTTGGAGTGGTAGTGACTGTTCTCAGGGTCAGTAATTTCAAATTTATTATTAGTGCAAAATCATAAATCTTACATTTAATATCATCTCTCAATATTTAATCATACAATTTTAAAAATGTAAATGCAGGAGTTGGCCAGACTTGGAGTTTTGATTCTGAGGGAGAATTAATTTTCAACCCCCTGCTCCGTCCTATTCAGCTTCCTTGGGAAACGCAGTTCTCACTTCGCACAGTGTTACAAGACGGATTCATAATGGGCATAGCAGTTGGGCAAAATTCAACAGCTGTATTTACTGTAAGTTTATTACATAATTTTACATATATTTTTGAGCTTTATCGTATCATTAGCTTATGGTTAATAATTATTTTCTTATAGCTGGAAAGTGGATACTTGAAATACTCGATTGACAGTGACAGCGTGATACTGTCATCATGGAGAGTAACCGATGGTCTTTGGCACAGAGCGGTAGCAACGGTAGCACCTACAGGAATGGCCACATTAATTGTTGATGGTGCCAGAAAAGCCTCGGCATCGTTAAGTGCTGCTCTTCAAGGGCAGTTCATTGGTCGAATCTCTGTTGGTATTGCGGATGGCTACCATCCTTTCTCTGGCTGCATAAAAGTAATTTTATTTTTAAACTCATTTTATGTAATTGTTAGTTGTTAAAAAGAATTTTTGCATTTATAAGACGTTGAACTTAAATATATTTTGGTTCAGAAGGTTCTAATAATAGATATTAACAACTTTTTAACTTGGTTGAAACCTTTATCCAACATTCAGATCGATCTTAATTCTATCAATGCATGTTTTAATGCATGTCTTATCAATGCATGTTTTAATAAAGGATATTTATAATACAAAAACCATCCAGGAATTTATTCAGAGCTCATCAAGGTTTATGCAGCATCTAATTCATGCTGTAAAATATTTTTAGACTTTTTTTTTAAATAGTGTTTTCTACCAGTGTAAGCATATGAAGAAAACAAAGTTGTCCCTCCACTTGTCAGTGTCCTTGTATCATTTCTTACTACTCAGAGTCATTGACCCTTATCTCTAAACACAAGGGTTAGACTCATCTAGATAATGGAGATGAGGTGATGTACCTGAGAAAGGTTGAAAGGAAGAGCAGGATAGACAGGATCCGCAACAGCACTATAAGGTCAAACCTCAAGGTACAGCTGATAGAAACCACTTTTGAAGAAAACAAACTAAGATGGTTTGGGCACCTCCTCAGTATGAATATCAATAGAATGGCCAGAATCACATAGAGACAAGAGTAGAGATAAGAAGACCGAGAGGAAAACCACTGGTCGCCTGGGAGGAAGGCGTGCGGGAAGCGAGTGCTGGACTGGAGAGAGCTGGTACAGGAGAGGGACAATTTGTCCAAGCTGTATGTAGCACTACAGGGGGATTGGAGTATGATGATTTTCTGCCGCTAACTATAGATGTGTCAGTGGGTTCTATTAATAATTCCATTGATGACTTAGATTTATAATTTTTTGAATTCTTACAGGATATTCGACTTGGTTCTTGGCAAGGTCTTCAGTTGGTTCAAAACCCGACCTCATCATCTGGCGTGGGATCATCTTGTCCTCAAGATTCTCAGTGTTCTTCTTGTCCACCGAATAGTCATTGCAAATCATCTTGGCACAAGTCATCGTGTGCCTGTAATGCAGGTAATGTGATTATTTTTCTCTTGTTTAAAGAGAACTTTTGTCTCATGTTAAAAAATCATATATATGTATATATATATATATATATATATATATATATATATATATATATATATATATATATATATATATATATATATATATATATATAGTTATTTTTGGCTTACGATGATTTTATTAAAGGTTATGTCGGCGAAGAATGTGAAAGTGTCTGCAACCTCAACCCTTGTCAAAATGGTGGTTATTGTTTACATGACAAGGATTCACCTTTGGGCTATTCATGCGTATGCAATACGACAATATTTACAGGTATGCTGTCTACGTCAACTCGTGTAATTTTAAATTTAGATACCCTGTAAAATAATTTTTTTTTTTATAATGTACTTTATAATTGGCTATTTGCATGGTTTTATTCTTCTATTTTCGTCATTCAGCAAGCATTTCAAAACATTTAAGTGAAAAATAAAATTTTCTGTAATCATTGCTTCAAAAGATATTAATTTTTGAAGTCGCCATAGGAGGCTTTATGACAAGAATGTCATATTGGACAGTTGAAGCTGTTATGATCTCACTTGTTTAAGATGTTCGTTTACAAGTATGCTTAACCAGTGTTGCAAATCTTAAGTCATTTTATATTTAAATTATGTTGAAAAGAAATTGAGTAATAATATAGAATATTCTAGAAATATAATATCCATTGGATGTAATATTAGATTAATATATTAAAAGTTTAATAATGAATTTGTTTGTATGATATGGTATTGCTTTATACATGGTAGATGGTGTGTTGTGTTTCTGCTATGTCTTGGTTTAAATTTTTTTTTCTAACATTTAAAGCAACGATAACTTATTTCCTTTTTATTTTTAATGACAAATCAAAAATGAGCTAGATGTTCTTAATGGTTAATTTTTTATCATGTAGGTGACTATTGTGAAAAGGAAAAATCTGAAGTCTGTCCTAGTTCGTGGTGGGGGCAGCCTAATTGCGGTCCTTGTAACTGTGATGTGTCTCGTGGCTACAGCCCGAATTGTGATCAGAAGGCAGGAGTGTGTACTTGTAAAGTAAGTTTTTTTGTTAATGAATAGCTAATTTATTATTATATAATACACGATTAGCCAATTAAATGTGATATGTTTTAGAGCGAATACTATCAAATCATGTAGATACAGTAATCACTTATTTCACTTGGGTTATATTTTCTGTTTGATTTTGAACCTAATGAGTGCCAGTGAATACTCTATTTATGAACAGAAAAACAAAATTGTGTCTTAAATTTTATACTATTTTGTACCTCACTATCCATAACGTTAATGATGTGAAGAGAAAAGACTTGTGTTATTTTGAGCTGCATAGATTTGGTTTAATAAAATTATAGAAGATGAAAAAAGTCCAATGCTGAGTGAACTCAATCATCTAATTAGAGAACATAATGACATTGTTGTCTTAATGGTGCGGTCAAAATAGTGTATGATGGCTCATATTTTGTTAATTATCTATTGATTTTTTAATTTATCATTTTTTTAAAAACAAAAATGTTCTTACTCTATAGAACCTTCTGTATTTAAGTTAATTTAAAAGTACTTGTAAACGATAATATTTTCTTAAAAATATATATAAATAAACTAAAAAAAAAAAAAAAATTCAAATGAAACGGATGTTCCTTGTGTTGGCCTTTCATTGTGTGAAATTTCCATTTGTCAGCATTTTGTTTTATAATTGTTGAATTTTGGCATTTTTACTAAAAAATAATTGTACAAGATAATTTTTGAAGTAGTTGACATTAAATGGCCTACCTGATTTATGTGTAGGAGAGTCATTATTTTGCTTCTGAAGAAATAGGATGCCTGCCTTGCGATTGCTATAGCATTGGAAGCCTTTCCCCTACTTGTGACAGGACTACAGGGCAGTGTGATTGCAAATCAGGCGTTGGAGGATTGAAGTGTGACCAATGTCCTAATCCGTATGCCCAAGTTACGTCCCTAGGGTGTGAAGGTATTTATTATTTCTATTTCAATATCTGTTAATTTTGGTTCAAATTTTGTATGAACAATAACATTACGCTATTATTGTTATAGTTATTTACGGAGGATGCCCGAGGAGCAAGGCAGGTGGTGTATGGTGGGAGAGATCGGATTATGGGACCCTATCATCAGTGGCTTGTCCTCAGGGTACTAACGGGAGGGCTACAAGGCTCTGCGACCGCTCCCTTCCTGGCTGGAGGGCTCCGGATGTCTTCAACTGCACTTCCAACTCATTTATACAGCTAAGGAGGCTGGTGGGTATTTTTAAGATTTATTTTTGTTTCTAGCAGCTTAAGAATCTTTCAATTGAGGGACTAACTGATTTATTTTATTGTAGCTGAGCCAATTAGAAGCTGGAGATGTATCGATGAACACATATGTTGCTGTAGAAACAGTGAAATCCCTAAGCGATAGCATCAACAGTACCAGGTACCTGACCGGAGCTGATTCTTTCATTTCCATCCAGCTGGCTGCTCGCCTTCTGCAGTATGAGTCTTCACTTTCTGGATTGTCCCTCTCCCATGTGCAGCACGACACTTATATCAGTGTAAGCTTTGTGAAAAATTTAAAATTTTATTAAGGTGGAATAGTTAAAATCCAAATATGCTTTTGATTTCTGTTTTTTTATTATATATTATTTACATTTTTTTTTTATTGTAGAGACTTGTTTTTATATTGAGTGAACTACTATCTATGCGAACCTTAGAGTATTGGCCACGCTTGGAAACTCTAACATCAGAATCGCCTCACTACCTTCATTCTCTGTTTGCAATATATATGAGTACTCTGGCAGCTAACATGAGGGACACCTATACACAGCCTTTTGAGACTATTGCAGACAATTTAGGTTATTGTGATAAATGTTTCTGTGATCATAATATCAAAACTATGTCAATGAATGTCATATTAAAATATTTTATTATTTACAGTACTTGGTTTGGATACAGTAAGTTCAGAAAGCCTTTATGGGTATGAAGTACTTGGAAAAGCATCCACTCTATACAGCCGAAGCAAAGAAGCTGTGGTTATTCCTGACACCACTAACATTCTTCAGCCTCCTATTCAGGTAGCTTGAAACATTTACAAATAAATTTCAGCCTACAAAAAAATTTATTTCTTAGATATTAAACATATTTGAAGTTGAAGTTTATGAAACTTTATTGTAAATATCTAATTCTATTTCTATCCTTTTACTTTTTAGGGAGCAAGTGTCATTTCACGTAATGCTAGCTCTTCACCAACTGTGATGTTCCCTAAATACAACAATTTTGTTAAACGTGGTCAGAAATTTGATGAATTCTCTCGCTTGTTGTTGCCTACTGATTTGCTCGGAATCAGGGAAGTTCTGAGGGGTGATATCAGTATTACTGGTTCGGTGAGAACACAGCCTGAACGAGAGGCCATTGTATCTTATGCCATGTTTAAAGAAGTTGAAGCTTGGCCAAAGAGGTTCGATCACAGTGTTGTAACCAGGTGGGGTCTCGACCTCCAAGTTGGTTCCACTATCTTCACCGTTGTTGCTACCAATAAAGGTATGTATTCACTTTGATTATTTTATTTTTTATTTATTTATTTTTTTATTCCAATATTACTGTTATAATTTCATTTAACAGAAGGGACTGTTCTTGGATCTGGTTTAAAAAGCCCTGTCAGACTTCAGCTGTGGTTAAGTCATCCTGTTAAGTCTCCAAGGACCAATCCTCAGTGTGTAAGATGGACACATGTTAGAGGGTAAGATCTCTTGTAAGATAATTCTTAATGGCGTATTTTTAAATATAAAATTTATATTTAAATAAATAAAGTGAGCTGTATTATCATTTGACCCATAGTCCTACTGATAATTGTGAAGCATGTCCTTGTGGCCCTAGACTGACATAAATAACGCCTGCTATTAGTCTGTGTCCCTTTGGTTACATTACTCTCTGGAGACCTATATAATATCCTTAGGATTTGATCTTTTGTAATATAATATATATATTAATTTATAACGTAATATAAATGATACAGTTCTATTATATATCTAACACAAAATAATGAATATGTTTGCCAATCCTAGCTCGACAATGGATGGACCAGCTAGACTGATTATGGATATACGAACGAGATTAAATGATAAACCTGTCTGTGTTGATCCTAGGCCCTGAACTGCAAAGGATCAAATATTTATAATGTTTTGAGAACTAAGTGTGTTTATTAGATGTTCTAATTCAGTTATCTACAGTATTCAACTTTTTTCAGTACAAATATAAAACCTTGTTTTCTTTATTTAGATTCTTGTTTTGATATCAAATTTTAAAAAATAAATAAATTAGTTTTGGTTTTGCTCAGGAAGATCTAGGAGAGACCCATTGTTCGACTTTACAATATTTTAGGAGACAGTGATCAAAATTGTACTCCAAAATCTTGAGCCCGCTACAAACACGTTGTAACTACTTTTTGCCTGTGCGCAGAAGTCGACACTAAGTTATTATTAAATTATTCTTCCACTGAGTCGGAAAACATTTGTTCAGTTATCCGCAACAGAACTTGCGTGTTAGCTTGCGAGTAGAGGGCACGAACCATTGTTTTGCGTTTTATCAGTGGAATCATTTATAATAAAAAAGATGTTTCAGTGGATTAATTACTTTTTTTTCCCCTTACTGTTAAAAATTATGTGGATGATGTGCTTCAATGTTGAATTATTCATAATACTTTCTTATTGAGTTGTTATTGTAACTTACATATTTCTGTTTCAAGATCATTTATTTAATAAATAAACATTTTATCATGATTTGCAGGTTTGGCGAATGGACCAGAGCTGGCTGTATTACAGAGCTTCCTAGCGGAGATTGGTGGCGGCGCCCCTTAGTCTTAGTCAATTGTACCTGTACCACGTTATCCACGCATGCCGTTCTTATCGATCTGCTAGACCATCAGGTATATTCAATAACCTTTATAAACTTGTTAACATGACCATAATTGTTATTAGTTGATTGCTCCATTTTCACAATCTTCAATTGCATTGATTCTAATATTCTGATTTTTATATATTTATCAACTTTTTTCTTACAGTATGTCCGTGAGGCTTCGGAGGCTGAAGAAGCGATGACCTGGATCGGATTGCCCGTCTCTCTTTGGTGCCTTGCCATGACCCTGCTGATACTGAACATATCAGGAAAGGGAAACAGAGCTGGTATATCTGCCAACATGTCTGTTTGCCTTCTTGCTGCTGAGGGCTTATTTCTGATCGCGTTAAAGGGAAGGTCACCTCTCCTAGCGAAGCCGGTTGGTAGTCATTATTAATGATTTTCTTGCTATAATTTATTTGCCATAATAATAATATTTTGTTGATTATTTATGGAATGAAAATATAAATGAATTATATATTTATTTGCAAAACAATAACATTTATAAGTACATCTTTATTAATAATAACACGATATTTACTGGATATTGAAAAATTGAAAACGTCAGAGAATTTTATGAAAAACATCGGGGGAATATACTAGCATTAAATGCAAGCACAAATTTGGTGTTTGTTATGATTCAAAATTATTATTACTTATAAGAAATTTTAGTGATGGAATATACATATGAAACTTAAAGGGTATTAGTGTTTATTTTTTCAGTATTTTTTTGAAAATTATATTCCTTAAGTTTTTTTTTTTTTGTATTTTTTTAAATTGATTCCTTTTCATTTAATGTAAGTCATTTAATCAGTTCCTTGTCATTTTCGTTCTTTATTTTTTTATTTTTTTTTATTTATTTTATTTTATTTTTTTTTTTTTTGCAAAAAAGAGGTTTTGATTTTGTTTGATAAGTTTAAAAGTCAATGTTAAAAATAATGTTTCTGTTGTTTTTAGTTTCTATGAGACCGATTGATATTTTTATTTGTAACTCAAAGAGAGGCTATTCAATTTTTTATTTATCACGAAACCACAAATATATTGTGTTTTGCTTGTTTGTAGGTATGTAATGATTTTTTGAATAAACAACTTGTCTGATTTTTAAGTTTTAAGGATAAAGTCATTCAGTGAAATCAATGTTTTGAACAATTTTAACTCGAATTACTGAATGTAATTCTATGATTAATATATTAAGATATGAAAACATATTTTATTATATTTCAAATATAATCAATTTTTAGTTGGTTTCATATTATATCATATGTAAATTCATGATCATGTGAAATGAAGATAAATGGCGAATACTTGAAAACTAAAAATTTAAATTAAAAAATTCTGACTATGGAAATAATCCTATGGTTTATTAATATTGAAAGTTGGCTACTAGTTTAATAAAAACTTGAACACTACCATCTACTAATATGTTTGATTACATTCCATTACTTGAGATGGGTAGGATTATAAGATGGGAGTATTGTGGATTACAATGTTTAAAATGTTAAATATTATACTGATTATGTAAAATAGTTGTTAATTAAGAAAAGTTTATAATAATTTAGTCAAGAGCCGATTATTTTTTCCTTAGCCCATCATAAAAAAAAAAGAGAAGAAATAATTGTACCCCCATCAATAAATTTTAAACTAACCCATAAAGTATTTATTTTTTGTATTTTATTTCTATGTAATATTTTAGAAGTAGTATGAAGAATATATTTATTTAGATTACAACTATTCAGTGAATAGGAATTTTACAGAAATAATCTGGAAAAGTCAGTGAATTACATAAAAAGATTTTGCTTGACACTGTAATAATAAAAAGCAGTTAATTTACCATTTTAATTAAAATTTAAAAGAAGCATCCTTTCAAAAATAAAGTACTAATATCTATACTGACATGACTACCTATGTTAGTAACATGAACTGCTAACTCTTGAAAGACAGAAAAGAGTCTTCTTTAAATTCACTTAAGCTACATGTATATATGTATTTTTTTAAATAATTGTGAAGTATATATTATTATTCGGTAATTCATTCTCTTCAGAATTAATAATTTTTAATAAATGAATGTTTCAGGTTCTTTGCAAATTGACCGCAATAGGACTGCATTACAGCTGGTTGTGCGCCTTGTGCTGGTGGCTCATGTCCTCGGTACACCTCTACCGAATGCTCACTCAGCTGAGAGATGTCAACCGCGGGCCCATGGTCCACTACTACACCCTGTGCTACGCTGTGCCTGGGGTCATAGTATCCCTTGCGGTGGCTGTCAGGCCGCACCAGTATGCTTCGTATTATTTGTAGGAAATTATTAACTTTCATAATATTTTACTTACTATATATCCTTTTTTTTTTTTTTTTGTTCTAATTCTTCCTTTGTCATGTTTTAAGCTGCTGGATCTCTCTACATGAATCAGTTATATGGAGTATGATTGGCCCTGGAATCGTTATAGTGTTAACAAATATCATTGTTCTATCGTTATCTCTTAAGGCGGCATTTACAGTAAACCAGCATATTGCTGCCTATGGAGATTTGAGGTGTGTAGTAACATTACTATTAAATCTATTAAGACTGTTATTAATCGTTAAGAGTCTTATGAAATAAGATAACTTATTTTGTACAAATCTACTTATTAAAACTATTGGATTAAATATTATTAAAAACTTTTAATAAAAATTATTTTTTGGAAATTAAAAGTTATCTTTAGAACTGAGGTAGCCAAATTTATCTGCTATATAGATGATTAAATATTGTTAGTTGTATTCAAATATATGATGGCAATATAGAACCAAAGTTTTTCTATAAAAATACCATTTATTTTAGCTGTTATAGATGAACCTTTGTATTCTAATTTACTATGTTTTTGCAAATTTTAGGACGTTAGTGTGGATAAACGTAGGAACTGCACCTCTGGCTGTTGGAGCATGGCTTGCATGCTTGGTCAACGCCACCGAGCACGGTCCAGGAGCCTCCCTGTGTTTAGCTCTCTGCTTGCCCATTCATTCCGGCTGCCTTCTGATAGCTGAGGCATCGACCAACCATCGTCTTCGTCGTTGGGTATTGTCTCTGACAAACGGCAAACCTCCTCCTCCCCCTCCTTCAGTGTCCATCACGAGCCCTAGCCCGGTAAGATTTTTACCTAATCTTCAATGATCCTATCACTTTTTTTTTTTAAATTATGATGTTACTTAAGTTATCTTAGAGCTTTCGTCATTAGCAGTTAGTGGGTTTTAATAAAATTGATATAAGGAATTGAAGCTCTTTTTTTTTAAAGACATTTTCAATTAATAAATTTATATTTTATCTTAATTATGATTATAATGGAGTTTATCTTATAAAGCTACAAAAAAGTTATTACAATTAATTATATTTAGACACCTGAGGGGTAGACATCTGAGGATTACGTTAAGTTTGATTTTGAAAGAATTTAGAGTGAGAGGTATGTGCCCAACTCTCTGGTTGTATAGTATTAAACCTCTGGATTCACTTAGCCATATTGTTTATTATTATAAAGGAAGGAGATGGTTCGGGGTGGTGGTCATAAATAGATTAAATAGTGGCAAAACTATTTTATTAAAAGCCAACGTTTCGACCCGACTTTGCAGGTCTTCTTCAGGGAGGTGTGTTCAGCTAGCAGTTTCACTTAGAACTCTAGGAGGAACTCACTTAGCTCAGTTCTAAGTGAAACTACTTGCTGTACACACCTCCCTGAAGAAGACCTGCAAAGGTTTCTGGTCGAAACGTGGGCTTTTAATAAAATAGTTTTGCCACTGTATAGTCTATTTATGACCGCCACCCCGGACTATCTCCTTCCTTAATAATACAACAGTCAACTATTAAGTATTCAAAATGTTTATTATTATGTTTTAACCTTTCAGTTGCAGAGATGTGGAACAGCCCCAACAACAGTGGCCAGACGACATTTAGGAATTTCGAACTCTAGTACTACTTCTACTACTAAAACTTCAAGCAGTCCATATAGGTATATATTCTGTTTTTTACTTTATGTATTAGTGTAGTTATTAGATATTTTATTTATAATGTTTCATTCGTTAGAAGTGACAATCAGCTACGGAACACCTCAACCAGTACTAGTAATTATGAACAAACCAGTGAAAGGAGAGTCACACACACATCTGATTCAGAATCAGAGGTATGTACAAGTAAATAACTTTTAGTACTAAGAAAAAAAAAATATATATTTCTTTATTAATCAATGTTATTTTATAGTTAAGGGTGGACAATCGGTATCAAATCAACGAATTAAAGTTGCTATTAAATTGTTTATACCTAATGCTTAGACGGGGAACCTTTTTTTTCATTAGAGGCCGCGATAATTTTTTTACATTTTACTGTTGCTATTTTTATTTATAAGTAATTACAAACAAATAGATATATACATTTATTCAACTTAATTTTTAATTTTCTGTAACCTAAGTAATTCTAACACTAGATTAATGAAAATCATGAAAGAACATGCAGGAGCCACAGATAACTCACTGAGTTCTCTACCTGTGACCTGATGTTTGTACTTTACTTTGTGATCTAATGTTCAGAGTTTAAAACAGAGATTCATTAATTTTTTAGTTGTTTTTTTTTTCTATTTATAAACTCCTTAGATTTTGATGTGATATTTGCTTCAAACAAAAAGCATAAAATTTATAATATTTTTGTAATTAAAAAAATAGTAAGGTAAATGTTTACTCCTTGAAATTAAAATCCTTCTGCCTCAAAACTAATATTGCTAAAGATTAAACTTAAAACATCTTCAATTTAATTTGTTTTTCAATATAATTTTGTACTGATTTATATTAATAAATACATACCATTAAACAAGAAAAAAAAATTGTACATCAATATGAGAAATTTAAATGTTTAAGGTTTATATGCTCTTTTGATCTTTTAATTATTGTTTAAAATATAAACATGAACCTATTCATATTCTTTTTGAATCTGTATTAGTGTTCATTTAGTTTCATACAGAAATTTTTATTATCAGGATTATTAGTGCTTGTTACTAATGCATTTGCTTTTAATTTTATTACTTTCTATATGTGTGTATATATTTTCTTAGTATTATCATATTAATTTCTCTGATATAATAAAGTAAAATAATAATTATATTTCTTCTACAGTTAAGATTTTTGTTTATTAATTTTTTGTTATTAGGGTTCAGAACGAAGCTTGGAATTAGCATCTTCTCATTCTTCAGACGAGGAGAGCAGTGGTGTTAGACGCCAGACAAACCTTACTATGAGGGAACCGCCACATTTAAACATTGATACAGGCCTTTTCCAGCCTATATATAGTTGGCCTGTTTATGTACATTCAGCTACGCACATTCAAGGTTCATACTTATGAATGTTTAGAGCATTCTTATAATATTAATATAGTATTGACTTTTAATGTTGTGTTGGATCTTAAATGAACTATGTAAATTATTAAAAACATGTGCATTTTTTTATATTTGCTTTTAGAAGAAAATGGGCGTCATAGATGGACTGGTTCTACAATATCAGATAATGAGACTCCAGGAAAAGTTAACAATATGTATAGTGATAGTGAAGAAAAAGCTAGTATTGGAGATAAATATCTATTTCCTTATACTGGTTGGTATATCTCATTACCAGTTGATTTTCTCCTATTTCTTTATGGGTTTTATCCTCTCTCTAATTTATGGTTTAATTGCAGCGGAAGAAGATCACAGTGAAATGGCAGGCTCTCCTTCGCCTTTGACCATGCAACATCATCTTTATCCCAGGGTACCGATAGCAGAGTGAGTAATTTATTTTATATTCATACTCTTTTAAATGTATTTGGTCCCGTCATACTGAAATACAGTCTCACCTCTATGTATTAAATTTGAAGATTCCTTGAAAAATTAAAATTTCATCCTATATACATAATATGAGCATAAAAACAAAATACATCGGGTTTGCTATTCCTAAAAAAAGGTTTAGTTAAATTTTTATATTAAAAGAATTTTTTTTTAAGAATAAAAGACAAAAGCCCAGCTGATGAGCATTCTATAAAAAGTTAATATATTTACTTCTTGTAAATGAATATTTTTTTGACAAATTAATTCTACATATAACTTTTCCTCTGTCGTAAAGGGATTATCAATCAGCAGTTTTAAGTTTTAATAACAGTTTGATTTATCTACATGAGATGCCTGCCCATCTTATATTTTTTTTAATTATTAATTTTCTAAAAAGTAAATATATCGATTTTTGAAACAATGTTCCTCAATGGAAGATTTTACAATATCGGACTAAGTGCCAAACCAATAACTTTAGTTAGACAATCTCAGGCAAAGTAGATTAAATGCCACAATCTTTAATATAGGCAATCAGTATTTTTGGTTTGACGCTTACTCCGTTATTTATTCTTCAATTTGTCTTTAAATAGCATTGTATATATGTATATTTATATATGTTGTACAATCTTTATTAATTGTTCAAACATATATAATATATAATTGCACTATTGAATATAAATATGCACTATCAAAGTTAATATTGAGATGAATGAACATATGAATTAATTCTCATTTTTAGATAAAATCATTTCCTTATTTTTAACTAATAATATATTCTTCTATTTTATTATATTATTGATCTTTTCATAGAACTTAACCCTATTTTTAATCTAATTTTTATTTTAGTCGGTATCAGGCTCTTATTATCTTTGAATGCCTAATTTTTTTCAAGTTTGTTTCAGATAAATGATATACTAACCAGGTAAAGGGTTTTTTCTGATTATAAGCATAAATATATTATCTTATTTTTTCATGCACGCCTACTTGTTTACAGGGAATATGAGGTATGTATGGAAATTTAGAAGTAGTTATTAGTATTATTTATTCTAATTTTTTAATAATAAGTTTCCATTTAACTTTTTCTCTTACATATTTTACTGACCTCTGATACTCTGAAATGAATCGATTCAAAAGAAATGATTTTATATTATTTTCTTCCAAAAACGTATGCTATTGGAATTTATATATTATATAGATGCTTAGACTCAAGTTTTCATTTTGAGCTGTTCATCAATTTTAATGATTATACCATCAACAACAAATATTTTATAATTTGATAGAAGGAAAATAGTGCTTTCTTCTCCCTCTCATCAACACTGAAATCTTGAAAAATCTTAAGTAATGATCATTCCAAATACTGTAATAATATACCTTTTCGGTTGTGAGATTTGGTCTCTTAGAGAAGGTTTGAAATAAGTCATGAAAGTGGATATGGCTGTCATCTGACTATAAAAAATTGAGGAAAATCATGATTTCTCACTATGTAAAGCAAAGCTAAAATGGATGTATTATATTGAAGCAGCTTCAAGATATCAGAAACATTTTTTGTTCATTACCACAAATGCTTTAGTAGATGGCAAGAGACCAGATGGAAGACCTGAAACCCAATTAATTTGTCGAATAAATACAAATACTATAGAGCTAGTAATGGTGAACAAATTTAGTTCATTGGTCTTTATTTTATTTTTTCATTTCTGGAAAGTGGAAATATCTTGTTTTTTTTTTTTTACAATGAAATCCAATAGAAATCATCATTCAAACAAGGAAGCCTTGTGTTCCTGATATATTGTGTTTGGGACTTTCCAAGTAATTGGCAGGGTTCATAATCCTTTCAATAATTAACCGGTGTTTATTTTAATTTTGGCCTAACAGGAACTTGGTTATGGAGGTGGAGAATCTTTTCTTAATTTCTGGGCCCTCTGACCAATGCATTCCCTTTTGCCTGCATTTCTCAAACTGAAGTTCAGGATCTCCTTACACTGATGACAACTGGAAATACCTATTGAAGGTTCTAGTTCTAAAAGAACGAGTTGAGCCTTGTTTCTAGCAAGCTTCTCGGCTTTCTCATTGCCCTTAATACCTTTATTACACTCTCTTATCAGATTGGGGTTACTATTTGGGGATTTGAGAGCTTGAAGACCTGTCTGAGTAGATATTAATGCCTGAATACAATGTTATACTTGTCTTATGGAATGCTTAAGTTCATCTTTATATTCCCTATGAAGATTCACATACCTATATCTCAGAGTTGCAAGCAATAAATGATACAGACATAGCTGGAATTGGCTGATATTGGTGGAGAAGCTGTGAAAAATCTTATAACACAATTTTTAAAAATTAAATAATATTTTAATAAATTCATTCTTCAGTGAAACTCTTTTTTGTGGGGACCTTATTTAATTTGATTGTTGATAAAACTTATTTTTAACAAGGCTAACCTAAACATATTTCTAACAAAAAAAAAAGCTCTATTTCTGATGCATTAATTAATTAATTCTGCTTTGTCTCATCCTAACATTTTAATATAATGCTTGTAATTATAAAATGACATATTATCAATTTTCTGTTTACAAAGCGTAAAATAATTTTAATTTCATGAAGAATGCCATTGAGGTAACCAGGGTACAATGTACTGAACCTTACCCATCACACCTGCACTTTGGTTTGTTTTATATCCAATTTTTATTTATGCATGGCACAATTTTATTTATTTGACTTCAAAATTTGTATTAACAATAATGACTATATTCCATTAATTTTTGACAAACACTACTATAATATCTCTTGTTTGCATTTTAAGTTTTGTCCATTTTTATGTTTAAGATTATTGATATGTGAATGTTCTATCAATGATTGTATTTTACATTAACTAACTCGGTTTTAGGAAGCCTACGAGTGAAACCCCAGTTTGATCTCCTTGAAAGGATGTATATTGATAATCCAAATATTTCTTCGTATTAAAAAGACATTTTTGGTATTATATCTTGTAAATCTTCAGACTGAATTGTATTTTGTACTGTATTTTGTGTGGATGTCTAGGATGTGTGCTTGTTATATATGTTATGTGTGCATGTATTTTGTCAAAACTCATCTCGAATCAGCACAAAAAAGAAATAGTATTCCTTCCATCATTGGTTCCATTATCATTCATCTATCTTTATTTTGATGATGGCCAATTATGTTTTCAGAATAAATTTTATCTTCGTAATTACTATCTATCTACAAAAACTTTTTTATTTTACATTCATTCGTCTATTCCTTTGAAGATGAACTTCCTTTATATATATATATATATATATATATATATATATATATTTATACCTTTCAATTTCAATTATTGTTAAAGAATTGCTTTAAAAAATATTTTGAGATGAGTTTTGATTGTTTGTTAGATCTATGTAATTTACATTTATGTCGTTTAATTACTATTTGAGATTAGGAAGAGACTTTCCTTTCTATTACGTTTAGATGACTGAAGGTTTGTAATTTATTTTCGTCTTTACTTTTCGTTGTATTTGAGTACATTCCATGTTGGTTGTGATTTTTTTTTTTTACTTTTATATTTTTTAATTTTTTATATTGTACATAAGAAATATTTATATGAAGAATGATATGCTGCTTGTTTTCGACATAATTGTATGAAAAATAAAACACAAAAGCCATCGAATGTTATGTCCATCCATTAAATCATATTGAACGAATTGAACTATATCTTTACTTGTGAACAACAATAATTTTATACAGCAGATCCTTTGCCGTAGGGTTTCTACTTACTCTTTTGAAAAAAAAGTATAAAAATATTTTTTTCTACTATATCTGTCAGTTTCTATTCTGCTGAAGTATCTTAGATGTGTTATTAAAATGAACATCGAGTCCAAAGATCAGCTCTCTTTTATATAGTCAATTTTTATACATTTGAATGAACATCAAAATAATATAGAGAATATTTTATACTCTTATAAATTTTTATAATAGCTTAGATTGAATTTTGAAAAATTTATATATTTCACATTTAGAAGAATATTTGCGACTGAGACATTCAATTAATATAAATGAAAGGTATCTACAATCATTTATTCTTGCTTCGTTTATAATTTCAAAATCGTTTCATAAAATTTAAACTTCCACATTTAAATTAATAATGTCCTTAAGTTTACTCCGAGAATCTGTAAAAATAACCCATCAGTATGATTTGTTTTTTTTTTTCTTTCAAGAAACTATTAATTAATATATTCAGAGTATTTTTACTACAAACAGGTGGGGAATTGGTTTGTTTAAAACTTTTTTGTTTTTATTTAGCCTCAAGATTTTAAACAAAATCCTATTTTGAAGATAAAACTACTTTAATTCAATCACAAGCAGTTAAGGTTTATACTATTTATAAATATATGATTTTTATTTATACTGAAATTAACTAATGTCTTACTTTCCAATTTAATAGTTAAAATTTATTTGACCAAAAAAACAACAAAACATTTCTGGTTTTTAAATTAAAATTGTTTTTAAAATATATTGATTGAGTCATTTATTCCCAAAGTAAATCCTAATTATTATTAACAATTTTTCAAGAAGTGCAAAAACGATATTTTCTATTCTAATTGTAAATCAAAACCAATATTTTTTAATAATATATTAAGATATAAATTAATAGATTAATTTATTAAATCTCTTTATTTGCAGTAGTAATTAAAAAACATTGAATCTTTAATAGGGTCCCTTTTGGAAAGAATATAATTTCAAGCTCCACTTTCAAACAAAAATTAGGTTGATTGGTGGTTGGTGGTTTTATATAGAAAATTAAATTTTTTGTTTACTAAAATGACAGAATAAAATTAATTTGTTTTTAATTTTCATTTAAATAAAGTGGTTAAAGAATACTTAAGGAATGCAAGTTTTATTACATTCTTTGAATGAAAAAAAAAAAAACGGTTTCAGAAATAAATTTATTTACACACCATTTTTTTTTTTTAATATTTAGGTTCTTTTTACAAAAAAAAAATGATTGCATCATCGGATTAGGATTCATTTGATGTTTTTACATGGGAATTGATACTTATTTAAAAAACTATTAGTGTTTAATTTGGAAATAAGCGACTCTGTTTCAATTCGCCTACATCATGTGCCTTGAACAAGAAATAAAAAGGGAATCGTTCATAAATAACGCAATAGTTTCTATATATTCTTCATGTCACTGTCCTGTTGATAAACTAAATGAAGTCTCATCTGGGTTTTTTTAGTAACCAAATGGCACTGTGAAAATAATTTTTGCTTCTTTTTGTTTTTAAAAAACTAAAATATCTTGAAAAAAGAAAATTATCTACTCTCACTCATAGAAATATAAATGTATTTAAAATTCTGTTTTTACTCTTATTAATTTTTAACTGAATTCATTGCAATTTACAAATTAGTTGGAAAATGATGTAGCTCCTTTACATATTTATATTATAAATTTATAGTTCTTCATCAAAAATGAAATAGTTCATTAGTAATCAATTAAATTAATTTTGGATTATTTATAATTTATTACTTAATATTTTAAGTTTACTGAACCCATCGATGTTATGTTCCAATTAGTCTCAGTGCCAATTTTTTCATCGGAAAATCTGCCATTTTATCATGCCATATAATCACATGAATAAATAAATTTTTGCACTTAATATATAATTTCTTAAAATGTAAAGTATGTAAAGTTTAATATTCAAAAAAGATATTTTTATATATAAAGACCACATTATATTTAATTTTTTTTTATTCCTATTACTGTGTAATAAAAAGTGTGATGCATTTTAATATATAAGATATCTACAAATTATTTCTTGAATTTGTTCCAAAAAACCTTGTGAAGTTCTTTAGAAAAATAAATATGTATGTATTTAAGCTTTGTTTGATTGTATACCCTTTATCTCATATTTTTTTATAAGCTCCTCTATGCCTTTAATCCAGTCCTAATACAGTTTTACTGATATGCATGTGTTGATGATAGTAAGAGACTCTATTTTGAGGTATTCTTTAAATATTTTCAAGACACTTACATAATTTTATTTAGTATTTTTTAAGTTTGTGAAATTACTTTGTTTATATTTAGATTAAATGAAGATTTATTCTATAAATCAGATTATTAAATATGAACAGTTCTTTCTAGAACTTTTTTCACTTAGTTACTAGAAACTATTTCACACCTATCAAACTATGTGTCAGATATATTTTAATTGTTTGTACAGTTAATAAAAATGATTTGAAAAAAAAAAAAGCAAAGAAAAGTGCTTTAATTCTTTTAAGAGTTGTATATATTAAGAATCATCAGTAGTTTAAAAGTAATATCGTAGACTTGAAATTATTAGTAACTAGAAGAAGTGAATAATATCAAATAGACTACTTCATATAAATCTCATTTTGAGGCTAAAAATAGCTAATTGATCATATTAAAAAACTTATTTTAATAACATATAGTTGAGTACATTAATTCATTTTGACGAAAAAGTACAAGCAAAGTATGGGCCAGTTATTTTTTTTATTGACCATTTAAAAGTTGACATATTTCAGTACTCATCAGACCGATCAGTATCTTATTTTCATATCTAATTTTTTAAAATTTTCATATTTTATTTTTAAGAAGAATGCACTAAATCACCTAGCATGGCCATATTGATCTATACATCATAAACTGATTTAAAAATATAGGGAAAAAAGAAAAAATATATTTATTATGTGTCCTTTAAATTTATAAAAAAGGATAGTCAGTTTTAAAATTAAATACCTTTGTGTTTTTTCAAAGTTGAGATTAACATTGCTTTCTAGGAATTTCTTTTCTTCCAAATTGATGTTTAACGAAAAAAGTTTTTAAAGAATTTTATAGAAATTAAGAAGCGTGTTTTGATTAATCAAAAAAATAAATATCAATAATGCAAATAGACTATTTTATATAAATCTCATTTTGAGGCTAAAATAGCTAACTGATTATATTAAAAACACTTGTTTTAATTAAATATAGTTGAGTACATTAATTCATTCTGACGGAAAAGTTCCTTTTCAGATTTACTGAAATCTCGTATATTCGACATTTTATAAATTATAGAGGTATTTGTGTCACCAACACTTGTATGCTTGAATATAATAGGCTTGAAAGGGAATACTATAAGATAACAAGCAGATAGAAGGTGTTCAAACAGTGAAGTTTAAATATCTCGGTTCAATATTCAATAGAGAAGGAAGCTCCACCAAAGAGATATAGAAAAAAAAAGAATAAAAGTAAATACAATGCTCAACAGTATACTTTGGTGTTCGAATACACAGCCTAATGCAAAGAGACTATAACCACATACACCTCAGAAACATGGATTATTAATGCCAGATAGCGGTAAAGATTGCTAGTGGTAGAAATGGAATTTTGAAATAGTGCAGCAGAAAAATCCAGAAGGAAAAGAATTAAAAAACTGGTGGATATGAAAAAAACATTTTAGCAGATATTGAAAAAAAAAATTATAGTGGTTTGTACATGTTAAAAGAATGTCTGCAGAAAGATTTCCAAAAATAAGTATGGAACTGCAAGTAGAAGAAAAAAAAGTACAACCAAAGATGAGATGGAAGAAAACTTTGTGGGACATGGCATCAGGAAAGAGCATGTCTTGGATTGAGAGTTTTAAGAAAATACTTTAAATGCCATTTCAGTCAAGGAAAACCACAATAGTGGAAAATTCTAAATAAAAAAGTGTGCCATAACACCAAATAAATAATTTTTTTTCATAGAAAAAAAAATTACATACATTCAAATGATAAAAAGACAACAGGCATCACTTGAAAAAGTCCTTATAATTTATTATAATAAATGACTTAATTACAGTAGAAAAAGAAAAAAATCAATAAGAAACAATAATTTATAAATTAACAATTACAAAATTGTAGGAACAGAAACAGTTTTCAATCCTCTTGTTTAAGTTAAGTTTTCATCAAGTATCACAATTACTAGTTCATGATCAGAACCAAATTTTCTCCTATGTTAATTACTATTTGGTCATCTATTTATTCCAAGAAATAGTTGATTTGAGTTTCCGAAAAAATGAATAAACTGTGCGTCAACTGGTGTTTAGGATATGTTTCTGAGATCGGTAGTATCACTATTGAACCTTCGGATAATTATTTAAAAAAAAAAATGACAATTAGAGGATAATTGTCAAATATCTGATGAAAAGTTCAGAGCAATAATTATATTATAATGGTCAGTGTAACAGAACTGAAAATCATAAATTTGCACTTAAGCAAAAAATGTAATACACAACCATATTAGCTCTGGTTTGGTGAC